AGGCGGGTCCGCGCCCGCAGGCGGGGCTGGGGGCGGCGCGGGCTCCGGAGATGCACGTGCACCGGCACCAGAAACGAGCGCGGGGACTCAAAGGCCCGCGCCCGGGGGAGCTCCGAGCAGCCCAGCCCGCTCCTCCGGGGCTGGAGCCGCAGCAGCGGGACCAGAGCGCCTGGCGCACAGAGAAGAGGCCTCCCCGGGGAAGTGGCACTGCCTTGTTTTTCCAGCGATTGACCTTGGGCTGATAAGAGAGGTCAGATGCTAGCACCACGGCTGAGAGAGACTTGGGGGTTGTGACCAACCGCGAGAGAACATGAGCCGTCAATGCGATGCCCCAGCCGGTACAGCAAAGCAAACTCTGGCTTGCATCCATAGATGCTGCTCAAGCACATCTCAGGATGTCGTCCTCCCGCTGTACTCGGCTTTGGGGAGGCAACAGCTGGGGTACTGCATCCAATTCTGGGCTCCACAATTCAAGAAGGATGCAGAGGAAAGCTTGAGTGTCCAGAGGAGAGCCACGTGCATTATCAGAGGGCAAGAAAACAGGCCTTACGATGAGAGGCTGAGAGCCATGGGACTCTTCAGCCTGGAAAAGTGCAGGGGGTGGGGGCTAGTGGCTGCTTGTAAGTACATCGGGGCACACATCAGGATCTGGAGGAACGCCTGGTCACCAGAGTGCCCCAAGGTAAAACCAGGACCAACTATCATAAACTCCAAGACTGTTTCAGGCTGGACATAAGAAAATTTTTCTTTACTGTCTGAGCCCCCAAGGCCTGGAATAGACTCCCTCCAGAAGTGGTGCAGGCACCTACTCTGGACTCATTCAAGAAACGTTTGGATGCTTATCTGGCTGGGATCCTTGGACCCCAGCTGACTTCCTGCCCCTGGGGCAGGGGGCTGGACTTGATGATCTTCGAAGCCCCTTCCAGCCCGAACGTCTAATGAAATCTATGAAACCTGAGAAGCAGGAGCTGGGGGCAGGCCAGGCTACTGCAAAGAACCTCCACTTCCTCACCACCTCTTTTCAGGGGGCTCCAGCTTATGCTGTGGCTGCTTAAGGATGAAGCAGAGCATGTGGAAGTGGAGAGCCTGGCTGTGGTTTTACAGAGCCTAGTCCTACCTGGCTCATGCCCAGTGCATGCTTGACCTGCGCTCAGCAGCTTTGCTACACTCATTCGCCGCCCTGTCAGCCTCTTTTAACAAATCTGTGAATCCTGCTAAGTACCAGTCATCTACCATCCCCAACAGGGCACAAGATGATGAGGACTGTGCCAAGGGTGCCACAGGCAGCAGAAGGGGCAGTGAACTGGAGAAGACAATGAGATTGTTTCCACGGCTCCTCACCATGAAGTGAAGAGGATGTTGTCTAAGCCTTACCTCTCCCTGAAGAGATTTGTTGAGACTTTCAACATGCAAACCACAGGGAGGAGCAAGATCTGGCTGCAACCGATACGTTTTCAAAATGATAAAAGTGACAGAAAAATTGCAAAGCACCACTGTAGGGCTGTTGTCAGTAAGTGCACTTCCATCACTGCAGGGGATTCCTTACAGACAGAATCAGTCCTTTTACAATGCGTCATGAGATCCACAAACTAAATCAGTGGTAAAAGCGCTAAGGATTCCCCACAGTCCTCTTTGTAACAGGGAAAAAGTATGCCCAACTGCAATATTCAGACCTGATATCTGATTTTCAGTACACATTCAAAGGAGTAAGAATCCAGGATTTAGGTTCTGCCCTTTAGGCAGATAGCATATTTACAAAAAAATAAGTAGTAATTGTAGCCTGAGTAGCATGCAAGTTTTTCCCCCCCAATAACAATCTTGTTAAGGAGTTGCCACCAGAGAACTTACACAAAGGAAGCTGAATACTTCATTTGTGCATCTAATACATATAATAGTAACTCTAAACAATTCAAGAACCATTCATCCATATTTTCACTCTGTTTCAACTGATGTAGCCTTCAACTCAAAAAATCCAGACTTATGAGGAACAAGCGCACAAGCCTGTGGTGCTGCAATGCCATCTGACCTCACAGGCTGAAAAGATTTCAGATAGAAGAGCAGACTTCCAGTTGAGTACCAAGCTACTGCAATAAGTGACATTGAGATTCAAGAGGCAGAACTCTTTCCCTCAGTGTCAGCACCAAAATAATGATCCAACATGGCAACAGTAGGCACTGTGGAGAAATCAAAGCAGCAGAAATCATGAATTCTGACAAGTTGCCATTAGTAAGGAAGATGGCTCGGTAATTACAGGATTTACCAGTAATTTCAGAGAAATTCCCTCTCCAGCCACAGCCTTAGGCACTACACCTCATTTCTCTACCTGCCAGGGGGTGGCAGGGTTATGAAGTGCTCATACCCCAGAAGTCTCAGGGATTGAAACTTAATTTCTACTCTGTTTGTACTTTGAATACAGCTTTCCTATTGGCTGTCCATGCATATCAAAGTTAAGATGAGGTGAGATAAACAGAAAGAGTCAGGTATCAAAATATAAATCTCTAATACAGATGGTTGTGTGTAGGCTGATATGGGACTATGCATCACATACTAAAGAACATGCTTAAACTTTGCTTTTGGGAACTCCAATAATTTCACTCACTGTAAAGCAGGAGTTGAACAAGTTTGTTAAGGATGAACAAACAGACACAGGAGTTATAAATATATAACTGTATTTTATTTTTTTAATATTAAATAGTGTTTTTAAATTACAGGCAATTTATTGAATCACACTATGCATGATAATCAATATACAGTAGAAATTACAATTTAAAAATGTACACATTTTAAAGACAATTTGACCTGAAATTTTATTAACTATGATATATTGCCATAAACCTCATACCTGTATTAAATTACAATAGGAAAACCTCATACCTATGATTTTGTTACACAGTTCCTCATTTACAAATAGAATTAAACATTATATATACACATGAGTAACATTTATCATTAAGTTACACCTACAACTGTGCAAGTTCAACCAATTTAAGAAACAAAACTAATAATTGTAAGTCATATTCAAGTTTATCTGAAAAACAGGCTGCTGGTATTACAAATACTTATTTTCAATACATTTATATGAACTTTTACTCTCCCTCCAGAGTTTTCATATCAAAGTCTTGAACCAAAACCCATTAATATTTAAGGATTTTTTTGTATGACTTAAAGCTGAATTAATTTTGTACACTCCATTCTTATTTTAAGGCTATTTCTTATAAGGCTAATATACTTCAATTCCACCTCTCTCTGAATCCAACATAAATAGCCATATCACTAACACCAGACTTACCACTGATATTTTAGCATAGTGCTTAACTGTTTAAAAACCACACAACTCCTACTAACCAGCCCCCTGGAGGGGAAGCAAGGGGTGGGGGAGAAAGACTCACTACTACATACAAATCTACTAGTTAAAATACTGATAAAAGAAAGAGGCTTGAATGGCTTTCATTAGTGCATCACCAAGGATACGAACAAAGTAGTTAATTAGCCACTTTCCATGGAAATGGCAGTATACACACACAACATACAGCTGATGGCAAGGTATCTGGGATGGTACAGGTGTTTCAAAATTTACAAATGGACATCCTTACTTTGTTGACCTCTCTCTACAAGTTTCTAAACAAGACTTTTGGCGCCAAATAATTTTAATCAACTTTAATCTTAAATTGCTAATAGCCTCTTCATTGTTAAATATTTAAATAGCCAAATCAAGACAATATCATTACTATTTAATAATCAAGACTTCCTACTAAAGAAGAAATTAAAATGGAGCCTGTCCTCACAAACTACTGAAAAAAGATAGATACAAATAATTCTAAAACTGCTATCACCAACTGAGTAACCAGTGCAAGAAATTACAGAACTAAGTGTATGGCCCACGCGATAGAACCCCCTTAACCCAATTATTCCAATGTGTTACCTTTGAATTACTCCACCGAATTTGTCTTCATTGTGCTACTGATTCTTTGAATATGGGTTTACCCCCTGGAAACATTGCTAATAGTTGGTCAACTTTAACTACATATGCTTCCAAAAAAAATTGTAGATAACAGTTCTAACCCAGTGAACTATACTGAAATTAAAATTCATTGAGACTAAGGAAGTGTAGATATTCACAGGGTTAACTAAATATTTTTTGTTATGTAGCTAAAAAAGCATATTACTGTGTGAAATATCCTCACAATCCCCCTTTGAACATAAATGCCCATTTGGCAATTCATTTGCAAACAGTTCATTTGGACACAGGAGTAAACTTTTATTATGCAAGATTTAACACGCTAGAGCTAAAATCCCGTGTAGCTGAGGAAAAACCTGAAGTGTTGCGTGTAAAAGGCTATTCATTTGCCTACACAATTTAGTAATCTGAATTTCTAAAATTCAAGCAGGAACAAAAGTGACACCAAATCTCTACATCCCTTTCAAACAACTTGAGCACCTCAGAAATGATGTTTAAAGTCAAGAAATTCATAATTAAGGATGAACAACTTGTCCAACAGTGGGGATTTTTCAATTTACGAGTTGACGCTTTCTTTGGAGACCCAACAAATGGAGTTTTGTTCTTAATTTTGAATATCCCAACTTCTGTACAGAAATAAGAGTTGGAGAAAAGTACTAGAGTGATATAAAATATCTATATCTGCTGTGTGTGAATTTAAGGACTTTTAAAAATCAGTATTACATGACAGGCCACAATGCTTGTTGCAAAAAGCCTACCGTTTAAATTTTAACAGGTAGTAAGAGTACACAACACAATGGCTCCTTTAAACCTCTTACAATATGTAGTTTAAGGACATATTGACAAATGGCTTCACTTATTAAATGTATTGGAAAGGTCTACAAGGAGTTGATGCTATATTATTCATTTCACACTAACGTACAGCCAGTTCACAGATTTCCTCAGAACCCGAGCTCCTCAGTAAGACACTCAGCATGTCAGCAATACATTGGCAACTTTAAAGCATCTGTAACTACTCTATCTTTTGATGGGCATGGAAGCCATTCTGCTTCTCAGGGCAAAACAATGCTTGAGAAGCACTATTTTTATATTCCTGTCACTTAAAACAGATACCCTGCTTTAAACCAAACTGTGTATAAAAATATAATATAAAAGCTTACCCACAGCTGAAAAAAATAAGTTTTTTCATGCTGTGGAAGATGATCACTATTCTTAGCTGTGTTGTGCTCAGACCCACTCAACAGAAAAACTAGCCTTATGTTAAAGCCCTGTAAAAAGTTTATGACACTAAGCTGCAGTATGCCGTGCAGCCAGACAGACTGGCTGACTACAAAGCTTAGTTTTCATTTCAGTTTTTTTCAACCTCCCCACAAGTCAGTGACTTCATAACACATTCAAGAGGCTAGGGGATTATTGCCCAACAGTACTTACTTTGGAGTGAGACAGGAAGGGAACTTGCTAGACAACATACTTAAGGATTAAGCTAGCTACTGCTGGACAGGAGGGAAGACCATATTCACTTCATTTGGACATCTTCATGGCAAGCTCTACTATTTTACATCTTTGCGTCAGTGCACGTTTCAAGCAGTCCCATGGGGTCCTGAAGATGTCTTCATGCAGGCCTGGACTCCTCTAGGTGACAAAGCCTGAATGCCAATTAACTAACTACTCTGCTTTAAAGCAAGGTTTCTATTAGCACGCTAAAGTTCCCAACCATTAATCCCTAATACTCAACTGTTTTTACAGTAATTGAGGGAGAGAGGAGGCATGGAAGACCATATCTACAGTCAACAGAAATAAGACGACAAACTGGTCTTCAGAATTCACAGGATGTTAAAAAAAGTGATGAGTCAAAAGTACCTAATTTTTATTTATTTATTTTAACTGAAATTAGGTTGGGGTTTTTTGTTTTTTTTTTATAACACACCTGGTCTCAAAGCCATTTTGTAGGGCCAAAATATCCTACCTCTCTCCAAAGCAGGTAATGTAATGGAAATGTCAGAAGGTTCTTAAATATGATATAGGCAGGTGCTACTGTAACTAACTAGTTACTGTGTTCACTTTCAGGAGTGAAAATAAAAAGGTATTTTGTAATCTGAAATAGATTCCAGAATCTCAAACATTCTCTCCTCCAACTTCCTATAACATATGGAGATTAACAATCTGTGATCAGCTATCACTTAGAAATGGTACAGCATATAAGATTCCAGCAATTCTAAGATATCACTCAGAAGTTAGGTATGTTTTACAAGTACCGTGCACAACAAAACATTCAAAACAGGACAAATCAAACTGGTTAACTGGGCCAATTCAATTTGTCTTATTTTCCTTGGAAAACTTAATATTTTGATTCTGTATAATATTGGGGAATATGGGAAGAATAATCCATAGTGCAATCGCAGTAAGCAAAACAACATGTAGTGATATCTTTTAGAATAAATATGGCTCACTACTTACCAACTATCATTCATACAGTTTCAGCAACATAGACTCCTGTTGCACAGGACAATTATACAGAATTCTACAACAGATGTTTGTTCAAATAGATAATGAACTACATGGAAAAATATAAATAGATTATACAATCCCATACATAAAATCATAATGTAGTGTAATAGCTTTAAGTGTTTGTTACAATTGTCTGAAAAATACTTCAAGTACTTGAAAACAGCGGCAGAATCATCTTATAATGAAAAGCAAATTGCACTGATTTAAAAATATGTTACAAAGTTAAATACACATTCAAATGAATGTCCTGATTGAACATTGCTTTCAGTGTTTACTTTCATTTCTTCGTATTTCTCAGTTATCTGTATTTTACATCCGCAGAGCCATATAAATTCAGACACACAAGTTTATCAGATATTAGTCCAGAATGCGTCTCAAGCATAATTCCAGGGAATCTGCCTAATCTTTTTCTCCATCTTCACTACTTCCTGTAAGGAGAGGGAAAGTCATAAGATATAGGTATTCAAATTTTATTTTTAATAATAATAAAACCAAATTCTGTACAAGTTTTTCCTCGTTTCTCTGCAAGACTTTTCTTAGAGCCTGACACTGTGGGTAACACTTGTCTGGGTGAAGTCATGGTTAATATTTCCCTCCTTTAACTTTCAGCTCCTCCAGAGTTAAACACCTGGCGCGCATTCATACACGGGCACATCTGCTTAAATCTCACAGTTCAATGTCAATCCTTAGCACAAAAGAAAGTAATGTATGATCTCCAAAATAACATCTCTTATCAAGAAGTTACTAAGCAACAAATACCTAAATCAGTAAGCATAATGCCAAGTGCAAATAACGCTCTGTAGTACTGATTTAATCAGTTAATAAACGTTGAGCACCAGGGAACTTCGGCCATCAGTAATATTTATTTTTACTCTCCTGTTAAACTTATGTTCTGGATTGATTTTCAAATCAGTTCCTATTCATATTCTACCACTTCTTAAGATTTTTGGTACTAACAGGCAAAAGAGAACATTTTGGTAGATGTAAAGATATATAGGAGACTGTTCAATAAAGAAATATCTATAATATTTAACATTACTATCCACAGGTTGATTGCAGTACTCTTCTTAAAGCAAAGGAATCCTTTCCACTAACCCATACCAATTTAAGTTATAACCCCACCCCCCCGAAACTCCAAGGAGATTCTATGGAAAGCTTTTCCTTAAAAAACACCTCAAGTATAAAACAAATAAATTTAGCCCAATACAATGATCTGTTCCTCCACTTAGTGCCCTTACTATGCAAAATAAAAATAAATCAAGTATGATCTGTGACTGGGCAATGAAAGAAAGGCTTTCAAGTACTGCAGAAGTTTGTTTCTTTCCAAAACTCCACAGAGCAGCAGCTAATGAAGAAACCTCACAGATTTTACTAGCTACACTTTCAGAATAAACTAATACCAAAATTGGAAACATTATTAACTGTTCTTCAGAAAAAAAGGGTATCACAAGAATCAAATGTGATTTGCATCCAAATATTCTCAACTTAAGAGATGTGACAGTTAAATAGAAGAACCAGTTAAGATCTTAACATTAAAAAGCTGTTTTTCTTGAGTTATAAAAAGGTAAATACTTAAATATATTCCCCAATAGCACTGATGGCATTTGTGTCACTACGTAAGATTTAAATGCAAGATCAGGTTAGCAAGTTTGAAGAACTTAACGAAACAAAACAAAAGTACTGGTGATTATAATATAGATTGCCTACTTGAAAGGAAATGAAATCACTTACCTCCTTGCTCAATATCTGAATCTGTAAGATGTGTGAGAGAAAGACTTGCTAGGTTTGCAGGAGAAATAGAGAACCTTGAATAAGGTGATGAATGTGACCAGTTTTGTTCAGGACCCCGGGAAGGTGGGGGTGGGGAAAAGTACTTTGATGTTGGAAGAGACGGCTTCGAACTAATGAGGTTATTTGCTGCCTTAGATATAAAAGAAGGCTCCGGGGAAGAGAAATCATCGTCCCATTCAAAACCTCCACCTAAAACAAACAAGCAACTATATATCAATCAAGATGTACAACTCAAAGTAGTGCTAAAATCAGATTAACCATAAGCAGTGGAAGATTTCATTTATTCAGTGTAAAACTTGGACACCAACAATAACTGCTGATCACAAATAGGAATGTCACCAAAAATGTTTCATATTTTAAGAGGGCCGCTGGTTCTACAAATGAATATGAAAAGAAACCGCTCTGCTAAATCACTACATTTCTGGTATTAGACTGGACAGTTCACAATATCAGAGGCCATAAAACCCCAATAATCCTTATTACAACCTCAGTATGGTAGGAAGAATAATCTGATTGTGGTGGCTGTTACTGAACTGATAAAGTCAGAAATTATTGCTTTCTGTCAGAAAACAGCTGGATCTCCAGCTTTTAAATGCTACACAGCAGGGGTGTCAAACTCATCAGGTCTCATGAGCTGTATGAATGGCACAGGACTAGCCTAGATCAGCTTCAGGACTCACAGGCAGCAATGTGGGCCAAATAACATGTAGATGCTGTGCAGTTACTTAGTCAACTGCACAGTAAATGTCTCATGTAGACATGCTCAATGGTTTTAAAATAAGCCAACTTTATGGAAATTAGCAGAAAGGGAATGCAAAGTAAGAATTCTTACTTTTAAAACACCATTGGGTTATTAAACATGTTTACATGTTGCATTTCCCAAGTAAAATCGTTTGAAACTATTACGTTTTACCAAAACTGAAGGGTTTTTTGATGTTTGTACCATTGTTCCCTTTCTCCTATTGTAATCTGAGGCTCCAAACTCCCATAGGAGCATCATAAGGATGTTTGCTTTTAAGGTATAGGGGGATAAAATGACGTAGTGAAAGTTAAGTAAAGAGAATATCGCTAATGAAAAAAAAATACTAGCTCCTCTTCTTGCCATAGTGGTTCCCCTGGTATGGGAACAGAAACGAAGTATTTAACAGCCTCATTAGAAGGGACATTTTGCAAAATAGTAAGGAAAGAATATTGGGAAATATTTTAAGAAATTGGAGGACACATTTAAATACCTGTATGAGGACAAGTAGTATAAAAACTCACTGCAGGACCAGTTATAGTTTTCCAAACCCCAAATCTAAATAGCATTTCAGCCATCAGCTGACACTACTCAGCTCCGTTTGTCTGAAGTTAGGCAGAAGGCAGGGTGGATGGCACCTTAGGACAATTTTACACACGCTCCGGGGTGGGGGAGCATGACACTTTAATTAGAGCAGCTCTGAGAACGCTTCAGAATGGCAGCAGCAGTGTTTGAACTAAAACTTGTTTCGCAAGCATTAGTTCAAGCACCCCCACTGTCATTTTGAAGCTCGGGGACACTAATATGTGAAACACAGGAGACTGCTGAAGTGCAGTAATTACTACACTCCAGCAGACTCAATTAAATCGAGTCTGCTCTGACATGCTGATGTCAGAACAGCCTTCCAGCACACATACAAGCATCCTTATAGACCAAAACTCAGAGAGGTATGAGCTGTCATTGCCTACTAGGAACAGCACCTGGCCAAAGAATAACTACTAATACAAGGAAAGTCAAAGACTTTCTATGACACTTCTGAAACAGCATTACATATTTGATTATAACTGAATAGGGATATTCACTAAAACACAATTTAAATTATAACCAGAAAAACCCAGAATTAGGTTTTGTTTGAATACACTTTTTTTAAGAATATGTACCTTCTTCATCAGTAGAGCTTTCTGAATTTGTAAATCTATTCAAATAACTAAGACCTGAAGAAGGGACAGAAGTGACATCAGGGCCCTTGTGTTTCGAGTCCGCTGCACGATTTCCCAGTTCTTTGGTTGGCGTTTCCTAAGATATTCAAAAGAACGTAGTTAATTCTACTGTTGGAATGTTAAAATTCAAAAAGCATGCAATTATTCCCCATCAGACCCACTTAGGGACTGCGCAGCCTTTTAACCATATTCTTTAATTTAGGAAAACATGTAGCTGCATATTTTTATAAAGTCTGTATGCTGAAATATTGAATCACTACACAGTAGTTGTTTATTAAAAGGGCATACAGTGTGCAGAAAGTGGGGTTCCTCCCTCCTCCTCCCCCACTGCCCATTTGTCACCCTCTAAATAGTTTCCTATTAAAAAGGTAAAGCATACAGTAAGAAGTGGAAGGGCCTCTACTTGAACTTATTCCACTAATTTATCTTTTACTTCCACCCCCTCTCCCATTTCAGTTTTGCCCTTAAATCATGCTTCCAGACAATGAAAGTTCAGTAGGCTGGTACATGAAGCTAACATTTACAACAGTTAGACCAACTGAGAAAACAGCCAAAATGTGATTAAGAATAAAGTTTTAAAGTAGTAGCTTTTTCCTGTGACAACATGATTATTTCTCCAACGGAGACCCAAAAGCATGTGTGTCACCTCCATTTTCTAGTTCAACATACAGTAATCCTTTTATGTTTTGGGGGTTTGTTTGTTTGTTTTTTTTTAAAGACACGTCATCCCAGGTAACATTTCCAAAAATTAACAATAGGTCTTTATTCTTCTAAACTCACTGTGCTGGTCTGCATGGCCATAATGTTTTAAAAAGACACCTTCTGTTAAAGTATCAAGTTACAGATGTTCAGAATTGATAAAGCAAATAAGGAAACAGAACTCTAATCTTTAATTTTACTAAGCAAGTCAACCATTTATAAATCAGACTACCTTGAAGAATCACATGCACGAGAGTAAGGAAAAGTAATGACATTAAATTTTAAGTATAAGTTACTCTGACTACATAATACCCACTTACTGAATTCCAAGACAAGGTTTCTTCCACATTTAACATTGGGGGTGGGAGGGGTGGAAAGCCCCTCATCTTGGAACCGGGTATGAGGGAACAGCTATGGGAGCTAGGCTAGAGCTATGTTCCGTGCCCCAAACTACAACAGGGATGGAGCCTGCTGGTGCAGAACAAGGGTAAGTTGGGGGTGGGAAAAGGGGAAGTACGGAGCAGAGGCTGGGGGGGAGGGGTAGGTGGCAAGGCTGCAACCACAGGGCGGGCACAAGGAGAGGACAAGCTGCTTAGCCTCCTCACACCACCTACCTCTGCCCACCCCCCTGCAGCAGTGGGGAAGGGAAGAGGTGTGAATTAAAGACAACCCTCCAAAAAGTAGAGTCTTTCTATACATGGAAAATTTTAACTAATTAAATAGTTTCCATATATAGAGTCTACTTATTGGAAGGTCATCTTAAATTCAGGGTCGTCTTGGATTTGGGTAAATACAGTCATTTAGTTTAGTTTCCTTTGGTGCATGTATCACTCCTGAATGCAATGCAGGACACACAGAGAAAGGTACTTTAAGGATTGTCACTTGGTACATAGCACACCTGGGAATATCATTAGAAGCCATACCTCAACCCAGTGCATGCCAAATCCCCAAATGAGGTAGTAGACCAAGCTCAGAGTTGCCCTGAGCATGATTCCAGTACCACTCATACATATGCTTCTTAGCTCACGTTCAGTCTTGTTTAAGGTATCTGCCCCATTTCTGGGATTTAATGCTTGCTAAGCAGAAACAAGGAAGCAGGACATGATTCTCAGCAGTGGTTCCAGAAATAGCATGCAGGCAATGCATCAGACATGCTCTTAATGAGGACACTAATTGGAAAATTAGTAGAATTCAAATCTTTAAACTCAACTAAATATGAAATACCATTAGTTGAAAACAGCTCTGATATGTAAAGATACTTCACTAGACATTGTAAGTAGTGTAGGAATGCTTGTGAAAAATGTCAAAATTACTAAATTTAAGATCCTAGTTTCCACTCAGCACAAGTAATGTTCATTCAAGCATCCTAATTCTCTTTAAAGCAAAACTATATTCCACTTTCTAAATATGCTGCCATCATCCAACAATATACCACTGCATCCAACCTTGAAAACACATTTCAAAAGGTCTAACTCAGTGGCTCTCAGTGTTTTTGGACTCAAAGCACTCCCTCACTGGACTTGAAACACCCTTCCATAACTTATGTGAATTGAGTGGCCCCAAATTTCAAAAACTAAATTTATACATTACAGTGCTTACCTCCATGCAGAGGCTGGCAGTGGGGGTGGGGGGACTGGTCAGGCAGGTACAAGTCTGAGCCCACATTTATCTGCTATCTACTCACACCTCTTGGTACCATTCAAAGGATCTGGCAGCACCCCAGGGTGCCAAGGCATCCTGGATGAGAATCATTGGTCTACTTCTAACATGCAGAAAGTCTTACTGGTCTTTTTTCAATTAGTTAAGCAAATACATTTGTAAAGGCTGAAGAAAATACCGACTTTTTCATCAAATCATTGTGCAGGTAACATTGCATTGAACCTGGTCTTTGAATGTTTGATTATGTTCTTTATTTTAAACGAAATCTAAAGTTTAAGATCAAAAGCTTAGTAAATAAGAGTTCAGAAGATACCTGATCAAACAGATAGACGGTTACATCATCAAAGAATGTTACAGCCTTCTTCTCACTTTTCCAACACTCAGATGGCCCATCACACTTAAGAGACTTTGGAAGTTTCAGCAAGCTTCTTAGATGTTTCCCATCATCGTTATCAGAAAATATCTCAGGAACTTGAAGCACAGTTTCATCTTCACTGTCTGAACTAAGACTATGCATATGGAAAGTTCTCATATCATCCTCAGAGTCACTATTTTCATCTTCTTCATCTGCATCATCTCCATCCTCCAATAAATCAAGCATTCCAGAAACATCAAGTTTACCAAGGTATTTTCCTTCAATATCTGGCTCTTTCAGCTTAGGTCCTTCTATGTGACACAAGGAATTTTCACTAACAATGGTATCTGAAGGACGTATGTTATGAATGGATGGTAAGTCTCGGTGTAGAAGAAATTCTGAAGTATTAGTGCCAACACAAGAGACATTTCTGAGAGAATCCTTGGATAACTTGATTTCATCTCTGTGATTACCTTCTGAATTCACTGCAAGTATCAACGGGGTTTCTTTTAGCCATTTTTCAGGACACATCTGCATTGTTACATCTATCTGCCGTCTCTCCAGCTTGTCATTTATTTCTAGTTTTGAGGCTAAATTATTGGTTTCCTGGCAATCTATTACTTGATTGTGCTTTGGCTGTTTATTTTTTAAACAATCTTCTTCAATATTATTCTTTTCAATGTTATGAGAGTTATTACTGAAAATGTTCTCTCTTGTTAGTATTGACATATTTATATCTTCTGTTCTTTTATCCGGCTCAGAATCATTATCAGAAAAATAGGCAGAGTCTCTGTATGAGTTCTGATTTCCAACTGCAGAAATCTTTGTGGTAATTTCAAAGTCACTGTTGTCGTTTACTGCATCTGAGCAAGCTGTTTCTGCTGAAACAACGATTACTGGATTGGCTGGTAAAACACTGCTGTCACCAGCAACACATGGTACAGTGTCTGTATTAGAAGTATCATCAGCAGTAAGATGTGAAGTCCATTCTGGAGATTCCAGATTCTCAGTTTCATAGCCACTGTCACCAGGTTTATCAGGAGGTAAAAGCTTCTGGGGACTCTGGGCCCTTAAACACTCTAAAACTTCATTTACATCTAACAAATCCAAAGAATCTGGAGTTTCTAAGAACTGTTCTACAGTTTGCATAGGAGATGAGCTCTCTCCCAACAGACTATCCTGACTTTCACATGGGGTAGTAACAGATATTAAAGTAACTTCTTTAGAAACATCTTTATTATATTTTTTAAAATAATCTGGATTTTCCTTTTTTCTCTCCAACGACCCTGCATTATCCTTTTCTAATAGCGAAGGCTTATTCTGCAAATCATTATTCCTACCTTCCTGACTAATATCACATTTCTGACTACCAAGGCCACTACCCAAAGTTATTTCTTCAGAATCAACAGGTATTCTGTCTTTTATTTGTCCCTCAAACTCTCCAGTTTCAAGTGCAACTGCTTGACTTAAGCTGTTTCCAGTACTAATGTTTTTGGCATTAATGGGTAGCTTTTCAGAAGATGCAGTTTCAGCCCTTTGAGATGTTTCTTGACAGAGACCATCATTAATAGTGCAAGATGATTTTTTATCAACCGCTATCCTTGAAAGGACAGTGTCACCTTTCAATGGGGTGAGGTTCTGATGGTTATCATGCAATTTCTCATCTGTGCCAGGTGAACTAAAAGGCACCTGCATTTCTATGAGAGACTGAGACAAAATGCTCAACTCCTTACCTGTCGGTATGTGGATTAAATGTTCATCTTTCTTTATTACTTGATAATCTAAAAGCTCTGAAAAGGTTGGTGTATTTTCAGCCAATTTAAATTCAATGTCCAGAGTATTTCTATTTGGAGTTTCTAATATATTTTTTATACCTGTTACTGATTTTGACCCCAAATCTTTACTGTTATCTTTGTTAGTCAATAACCCCTTTAATAAGTTCTTCTCTTGAAGAAACAGAAAGTTATCTGACAAGTCTTCTAAAGTAAGGAGGCTGTCACACTGCTTTGTAATATCTTCATGTAGAACAGCTTCATTTTCTGAAAAATTACTAGAGCACTCTCTCTCAGGTTGACAGATTCCTTTCAATACCTCTAAACTAGAACTTAAAGCAGCTGGTTTAAATTCCATGCAGTCATCATTTGTTTCAGGCAAGTCAAAAAGTGTCCTCCTACTTGCCAATTCCTCTGCTCTGTCAATATCATTAAATATATTCTGGATAGGGCTTTCAGAACTACTAGTAGCATGCAAAATCTCATCTTTAGGATCTGTGTTATAGTGGAAAAAGTCCCCATCAGTGCTAGATTCTTCAGCATCAAGATCCCTGAGAATCATAAAGTGAGAATTTTTGTCCAGTAAAACTTCTTGATGATCAACTTCTGTGGTTAGTACAGCTGACTGATTATCAAAGTTCACGCTACTGCCACCCCCTTTCTCTTCCAACTGAATATAGTAATCACTTCCAACAGAAAGTTTGTGGGCATCAAAAACAGGAAGCACCCCAGGCACAGTAAGTGATGCCTCCTGACCACTTTCATCTTGTGTTCCAGACCCTTGCTCTGAAAGAGATCTCTCAAAAACCTCAACTGGGAAGAAAATGCTTGTATATGTCGTTGCTTCATCAGGATTCACCTGATTACATTCAAAATGATCGTGCTTGGCTGCCTCCCAAACATATTCAAAGCTGAGCCCCCGACTTGTTTCAGTTACAGTCAGGACTTCTTCCATTTCATGGCCAAGTCTGTCTCCTGTGAAGTGATCTAGGATTGGAAATGCAGAATTGGTTGATTCTCTGTTGAGAGTGTTTGGCTTAAGAGCATTCCACTGCTGTTCAAAATCAATCTCAGAGTCCCTTTGGCTTTGCATGCGGAGATAGGTTAGAAGTCTGTGCACTTCCTCTGCTGTTGGTCTCTTTTCTGAAGATAGCCAGCAGAACTGCAAAACTTCATACCTGTGTGAAAAAACACATTTTTCATCTACAACAAACAACTACATTTTCCTCCCATAATTTTTTCCAATGCATTGTATTACAATCAAGCAATTAACACAAGCTTCTTTTTTTTCCATTTGTATATTTTACAATAACTCTTTACTCTTTCCTTATTTACAGCAACTCCTTCTGTTACTTAGCTAGAATTTATTTTTCAGGATTACAAGATTATACAGCATTTCCTGGGTTTTTTTTTTTAAGTAAAAATATTTAAATTGCTTGAGAAGCCTCTTCAAGAATTAAGATCTTTTTCCTTCTATATAAGAAGAATTTCAAATGGAAATTACCATCTATCAGAATAGGGTTGTTCCAGATGTGGTTTGAAGAGTTTAACCTGTTTCTCTTTTATGACATGAGTTAGCACTTCTCTGTCAGAAAAGTGTGAATAAGGCTGAGCAGCATTCTCAAAAAGTTCCCATAATGTTACACCCAATGACCTGAAAAAGAAAAAAAAGTGATTGTTTTCTACTTAAGAACTTTCTATTGTATGCATTAGTGTAAAAAGACCTCTCTTTTACTCAGGGCTGTATAAACGCAATGCATATATTTATATAAATGCTTGTAAGACTTCACAACCAAGAAAGTGTCTGCACGTAACACTAGAAATGCCAACTTTTGGCAAATCCTCCTCCTCCTCAAAACGTAAAATAGCTGACAGCTCCTATTCTGCCCTTTGCTTTCCTGCAAGAAACAAAACAAACAAAAAATTCTCTGCTCATGGAATACAAAAGCTTTAAAAATGAGCTAAATGACAAAGATTGTTATTTCACTCCTGGACAGGGGCATTTGCCTATTTCAAATGAAAAAATGTAGGACTTCCTACCAGCTAAAGTGGATTGATAATGGCCACTTAGTTAAAGCTGAAATATCTACTGACCATCTTAAGATATATTTTCTTTTAAATCTATGTATATATTAAGGGTTACATTTCTGAGAAACTGCAACAGCCTAGACAATCTGTCCTCTATTCCCTTCTTTGTAACCCTCCTCCCCCTCGCAAAAAAAAAGAATATAATACATTAGTATTTTGATAATATTAACTAACATGCCCAATAGTTTAAAGGAACAGCCTACCGTGAATAGCCATAACAAGGAATTCAACTTGGAATACATACAACTTCAACTGCAGGGAGTAGCCTAATAGCCAGGCCTGACTCTTAGGATGCAAAGCTATTAAAAATTGAAGTTATGGGCCACTGCTATCCCAGTAGCATGAAGAAACACTGCATTCTTTTCATTTCACTAAGTTAGAAAATTTATCCCACTATTCAGTGCCTTTAGGTACAGAACTTGGATTTCAGACTTAAGGTAATGATTTGGAAAGTTCTAAGCAATTCTGGAGTCCAAGTTTCATTTTCAAGGTCACTAGGGAGCTACAGAATTCATGCTCGGATGAAAGACAGCACATGAGACCAGTCAATTTAATCTATTTCTTTACAATAAAAGCATAACAATTAATCCCTGCATGCCACACATTGTATGAAATCCAAGTGCTTTCATTAAATTATTTTTTTTAAATCTACTACATACCATATGTTACTATACTTGGTTTGTTCTGCTGCTAACAATCTGTCCTGAAAGCTAGTTACTAGCTCAGGTGCAGTCCATCGAAGAGGAATAAACTTCTTCTCATCTGTTTCAATATAATCTTCCTATAAAGTTGACAGAAATAAATCAAAGTAAGAGAGAATCCAATGTTTGTCTTATAGGAGCTACAGATTTGGGTTTTTTTGTTGTTTTTTTGGTTTCCCTTTCGAAGTGTGTAGCCTATTCTTTTTTCCTTTCAATAATTTTTTTCAGCAAACCAAGAAGCAAGTAAGATGCACCTTAAAAAAAAAATCACTGAAAAAATCCAGTGTGTAGATGTCATTTCTACATGCCTCACACCATCAAAAAATGAGGCCAATTTTCTATGCAGCAAAGATGCATCAAACAAAAAATGAACAGTGTGTATTAAGAGTCCAGTCTTTATTATAACAACTCAATACATTAGAATTTCTTTTAAAAATCTGACTGCTAAAATAGTTTAAGTAAGAATACATTTTTAAATTTTCCTACACAATTTTACAATTTTTTTTTTAGGGCATAGCAATTTAAATTGATACCAGTTACAACATCAGTTACATTAAGCAATATTTCTAAATGTTACCTCCTTTAAAGTTTCTCAATTTTACTTTTCTTTTTTTTTCTCCCCCAATATGCATTCCATTTTAACCTCTCCACCATCCCCTACTTTTGGGGGGGGGGGGGGGTTTGTTTCAGGATACTCGTATAATGTGAAATGCCTAAATAGTAGCAAATGTCCTCAACTTACTAGAAGCTCCAGTCACATATATTTCTATTCATGTACTCAATATTAGATATCTATTAAGTGATCTAACAGTACTTACTTTCTGGTAAGCTTTACACAACATGTACTTGTTTGAAAACAAACTAGTTTATAAAAGTTACTCAGAAACATGACCACATAAAAGCAATCACCACATAAAATACCTTGTTTTCATTCACGTACATTTATTATACTTTAATTTTACACTGCTAAGCCATGATTTGATAACTTTAAAACTATTAGGTAGAGAAATTAAACACATTTATTTACCTTGTATCTACTGAGTCCTATTCCATAATCTCCCACTTTTACATTCAAGTCTGATGTAAGAAAGCAATTCCGTAAGGCCAAGTCACTAGAAAACAGACAGAACAAAAACAAGACAAATGGATTTTCAGTATAATTTTTGAGACAAGTTACCTTGGCTAATGTAATAAAATTAAACTTAAAGTAAGACTAGACCACAGCTTTAACAGCCAAAGATAAATTATATATTACACTATATTGCACTACAACACTAGCAGTAATTATCACTTCTACACAGCATTTTCCTGAAGGTTATAAGTATAAATAACTGATGTGCAGTTATTTCGCTTTCAGTAGGCTTACTGGGGCAGATGCATCTCTTTGTACCAAAGAGTATAAATCATCCAACCTTGTGCCAGCTAAGGTTAAGATCACTACACTTTACAAAGTATTCATTCAAAGGAAAGGCAGATGCTGATATCTATCACTAAAATTAACATCAGTGCTTGTCAAAAAGTCCAGAAGTGTCCCACTGGTAAAGACTGCATAGAAGATACCCACAGAAGGCGCCAATCCAGAGCATGCCTGCACTTCAATCAGATGTCCAACTGCAGCATGAATACACAAAGCTATACCAGCTTTAATCTAACTAGCTCAGGTAACAGTAGCAAAGACACCACTGATAGACTTCAGTACAAGTTGCACAAGCCTGAGCAAGGCCTCTAGAACATGCCAAGGTTGCTAGCCTGTGCTGAAGTCCATGCCACATCTTCAGTATTAGTGTTATCAAAGCTAAATACAGTTAAGGACAAGTGCGTCTACTCAAGCTACAATCATATCTGCATGTAGCATAAATAGCCCCTATAACTTACTGACCAAGCACTAGCCCACTGTATCTGATACTGGAAGTTGCAGTTGCAAAATACTCCTACAACTTAACAGAATTTCTATCATTAAGTTCCCTAAGGAGGTTACAGCACAGGAAACTAGAACAAACTTGTAATGCATATAGTTTTTTTTATTGGTTTTGTTTTGTAATGCCAAAAGATGAATCCTTTGTCATCAATTTATTTTTTATTCCATAAAACATTAAAGTTATTCTAAAAAAAAGTATAACATTTATTTCATGTGACTACTCTGAAGGTTCCCACTATAACTGGCTGAAAAAACAGCGAAGGGTCATACAAGATGCGAACTGTGTTTATTAGCACAATTTCAGAACACTGTCATTTCAGAGCAGTGCTTTTAAAATTGAAGGCTTATGGGAAATTTTTGTCTAAATATATTCAAATGATCCAGAAGCTAGAAAAAAAAAGAATCAAATTTAAATATTTTATGCAAACATTTATGCCAGAGAATACCTGAAATAGGGCTGTGCGAAGCTTTGGTTGTTGATTTGGCCTGATTTGGCAGCCGAATCTCCAAATCTGAATCAAATCAGGAGACCCTTTAATCTGTCCAAATCAATTTGGAAGCCTCCAAATCGCTTTGGAGAGATTCAACGATTTGGTCATAGACACAGCTTTATATGTTTTTTCTACATACCTCAAGGCACTAGGCACAGCTTATAAAAGCTGAAGTGGTGGGGCAGATGGAGTGTGCCATGGGAGAATGGCGGGGGGGGGTCCCCCCATGCGCTCCACAGCAGACCAGAAAGTGTACCAGAAGTAGTTTCATAGTTTCTAGGGTCAGAAGGGGCCTGAGAAGATCATCTAGTCCGACCCCCTTCCATGGCAGGAAAGAGTACTGGGGTCAAACGACCCCAGCAAGGTGGTCATCTAACCTCTTCTTAAAAACCCCCAGGGTAGGAGCCTGCACCACCTCCCTTGGAAGTTGGTTCCAGA